ATAATGCATTTTTTACTTTCTCAAATATCTGATGGTAAATATTAAACTTCACAATGTTCTAATTTTTTGAGATGCTCAAGTATGTACTGTATCAGGACATCCCTTTCTTATAGATATGAGATCAAGTTGCAATAAACTTCTAACTTTGCTTTTTAGCAAGTCATAAGCAAGTGAACATATCAAAACCTACAGGCGTCATTTTTGTCCCACATCGACATCAGAGTGTGAAAAGATTCAAAGGAAATACTCGGAGATCGAGGAATATAAACAATGACCAATTTTAATTAAAAACATTCTATATTTAATCAAAATATGCAACTGTGTTTCTGATGTCCATCCTTTTGCCACATGAATAAGTGTGGTTGTGTCTTGATCATATATGAACATCCGCGCACGCACACACACACACCTATTCACACCCACACACACACACAGGCTGACTACATAATGTTTATTACATGATTAATCTGATTGTTTGTGAAGCAGAGTGAAATAAAGAATCTAATCCAGCAGCAGCTTGGTAAAACATCCAGTCATGCCCCCCGACTGCAACCTCTTGACAAAAGAGAGGACACATCTGTTTGCTAACTACCAAAACCAAACTTCTCAGTACGGCTGTTAGTGTTCTGACTTAATCCCCTGACTTAAAGTGTTCTTGATTTGATTCACATGGAGTAACAAAATGCCTGAAGGATTGTTAAACTATCATTTTTCTGAACTGTCTGATTTGAAAATGTACGTATAACCCTGTAGCCTTACAAACACAATTCCTGCTGCTGACCCAGCTTTGCCAGAGAGCAGAACTTGAATGGAAACTAAAACACAGAAACATTCAAACATCAGTGTTGCTAAGAAAACCCTTTATGCCATCTGACAAAGTTCTCTTTTTGTTGTTTGGTTTCCATAGGAACAGTTAAAAAGACTTCAAAAAGGTCAAAATTTCAACGTGTAAAACCAAAAGGAAGAGTCTTTTTCTCAATTCAAGAGTCCTTACGCTCCGGCAGACGGCCAACCTCTGCCCCCAAACAAAATCCTTCTCAGCAAAAACAACTGAGAAGAGAAGAAGAAAGAAGGAGAATAGAAGAAGAAGAAGAAGAAGAAGAAGAAGAAGAAAGGAGAAGAGAAGAAGACAGAAGGGGAAGAGAAGAAGAAGAAGAAAGAAGGAGAAGAGAAGAAGAAGAAAGAAGGAGAAGAGAAGGATAATTTTATCTTTTTTGTCCCTTGTTATCCCCCTTTAATACTGCCGGACCTCTAATATGCCCAGCTCCAGGTTGCCAGGTTTGGGGGGGTTTAATTCTCCACCGGCGTGGGCTCTTGCGGCACTGCAGCCACTCCTTCCACTGTCACAGGACCAGTTGCCTCTGGTGTATGTCCTGGTGGGGTAACAGGCTCTGGCGGTGGACGCTGGCTAAGGATGACCTGCACTACATAGTCCCTGGAGATGTTGAGTTGGTCCAAGCGCAGCCTATCTGTCAGTGGCCGACCTGAGAAAAACCAGCGTTGGGTGGCGGCGGGCACGCCTTCCTGACTTTGCAGACGACGCTTCATCATGCCCACTGTGTCTGAGGATCGGACCGACAGCCGGAGGTCACGGCCCGTGGAGAGCCGGAGCCGGAGCTGACATTCCCCCCCTGAGCCGGGGTCGCTGGCGCTGCCCGTGGACGGGTCTGCGGCCCCAGAGTCTGGATCTGAACCATCAGGCTCATCAGAGCGCTCTTCGATCATGTTGACGGGGGGAGAGAGGCAGTAGACTGGCAGCTGGTATCGATTCCCCAGTTCATCGTAGCATTCGGTCAAAGCTCCTGAAAGAATTGTAAAGAAAAAAAAAAGTTAAAGAATTTCAACGTTACCGTGAGAGAGGTTTGAGTCTATTTTAACCCAGAAATTTAAAGCAAATAAATAAGAAAAAGTGAAATATTTCCTTCAGGACACATCAGGAGGGAACTTCTTGTGATGATTTACTGTATTTTCTACATCTACTGTATAAAGACACTCTATTTACGTGGGTATGAGGTCTTATATAACTTGTGTACACGTACTGGAAGCCATAAACCATCATCTAGAAGAGCTTAACACTTACAGTAACTAAAATACCAATATAAACATAACCAGAAGCATGCACAAGTATATTGAGTACAGTAGGTAAATGATTAACTGGGATGTTCCAATGCAGCAGAAGCAACCATGAACATGAACAACTGAGTAATCTCTAAACTTTCATTAACTTTTTAGCTCTTCAGTGGAGCAGGAAAATTTATTATTTTTTTGTACATTCATGTTGTATTTAAATGTGATGTTCTGTATATTTGCATATTATGCAATCATAAAGTGAAAGACAAACACCGCCATTATTTTTCCCTACAACACAATCAAAACCCGACCTACAATTCCCATTTCACTTTAATAAAGTGAAATAGGGAAATGAGAATCGAAGTGAAAGCAGGAGAAAAGGGAATGTCATGAGTTGGAGTACTACACAAGAAAACATTATGTCACTGTTGCTCGCCTGTGATTCAGACACTGAGAATAAAGAGCTGGTGGACAGAGGGGGGAAATAGAATGAAGTGAATAGGTCCTGGTATCCCACAAACAGAAACTCAATACATTATCATTTGCAGTGGGGGTCCCCCAGGGGTACTCAGGGGATTCCAGACAAATCTGTGTGTCTACCATACCTGAAAACACAGTCATGCTATTGCATTTTTTTTATTTATTTTTTTTAATTGCAAGTTTGCCTGTCTTGGATTTGAATTCCCAAGAGTAATATACAATTAAGAGCAAAATCCATCAACAGCCAAATCCTCCCCAAAGTTGATCTTTTCAATCGTTTATAAAAGACGGTAAAGATGTTGCCCTTCAGTCATTCGAAGAATTGAAATACAATAATTAAAGACACGAGAGAAAACTCCCCCTGCAAAAGCCCACCTCTCCGTGTTTTATTATAAACAACATTTAAAAAGGTCACTGCAGCCGCTCTCGTGTTGTTTCATGACTTAAACTGAGGCGCGAGCCGCCCGAGAGACACTGTGAGTGTTGTGGTAACTGAGACTGAGATGAGTCAGCAGAAGCCCACAGGATGTTGCTCTCTGCTCTCTGGATGACAGCTGCTGTGGTCAAGGTGAAGACATTAGAGCAACACTCTGCCTCAGGAAACGTTTACCAGCGTGAAGGCAGAACGAGAGAGAGCAAGACTCAGTGTTAATGAGCTGAGCAGTAATGTGAATAACAAGTGTACAGCAGATTGTAACGCCCAAAAAATCACGCTTGGTGTGAAGAGAACTACAACTTCAACCCAATAACAACACACTTGAATCTATATTGTGAGAAAGCTTTTAAGAACATGCAGGTAAACTCTCTCAGCTCATGCAACCAACCTGACATAACAGAAGCATGTTTTGAATGATTAAACTTCTCCATTTTTTGTCAGAAGCTTAAATGTCAATGGGATGAAGTAAATCTTTAACACAGTGAAGCTTCCATCGCATTCAGAGCTGTTTTGATTGGGATGTCCCAAAACAATAATACAAATACCTTATGAATGTTAAACGTATTTCACTGACAACATATAAACATGATTCAGATGCTCATATCTCGGACTGAACATCTCATTCTGCTTTGTTGCTCTCCAGCTGGTCCCAACTCAGTGTTTATCTTTCAGCTGCAGAATGCTAATGGATTCCAGGTGGTGCTAATGTTTTTGGGTGTGGGATTTCATTAAAGCACAAGAGTTCAGATCGAAAAAACAAAACAAAAAAAAATAACCATCCCCGCAGGGAGAGATCAGCCTTGCACCAAATTTAAAATATTCAATTTTGTGATCAAAACAAGAAAACAGTTGTCAACATTAAAAATTCATTTTTGCTGAAGCCCTGTTTTTGCCCCCTGAACTTGGCTTGGCTGGCTGCAAACATTAGGCATGTAATGATGTGAGTCAGCGATCGTGACGTTTTAATTTGGTGCAGGTTGAATATTCACCAACAAATGGCACCCATCTTAGGCGTCACGGTGCCACTTTTGATGACCGCAAAGCTGGCCTCCAGTCTTACATCACACAGTGAAAAGAGAGCCCATCAGCTGATGCATCTCTAATGAACAGAGTGAAAAGTCTCCATTATGAATTCGAATGAGGGTTTGGAGAAGCCTTCAAAACTCAGTTCCATTTCCTGAATGGCACCAATAAAGTCCTGACTAGTAATGGAGGCAATTCAAGCTTTTAAACCATTTTAGAGGATCATGGACTTGTCCCACAGTGACCTGACATTTCCCACCATGTTAAGGATGCCTCTCTGTCAGACCATCTGTGCACCACTTTAGTCTGCACTGAAACATCAACAACTACTGGACGGAGTGCCATTAAATGGATCCTGCTGACTTTGGTGATCCCCTGAGTGTTTATCTAGTGCCACTGGAAGGTTCACATTTGTAGGTTTGAGTGAGATCTCTCAATTATTGAAAACATTTCTATGAACATTTTTGTCCTTTTCATAAAGAATTTTAAATCACTTGAGTGGTGGCCTGACTTTTTCGAATCCTCACCATCCCAAAAATGTGTAAAACTAATGACATGGCCATCAGCCTCAGCCGTACTGTGTGTTTAGTGCTAATTAACATGCTAACTCAGCACATCAACGTGGTGAAAGTAATAAACATTACACCTTTCAAGTGTTAGGTGGTTAGCCTTGTTATTGTCAACAGCATGCAATGTTAGCTCTTTGCTCAAAGCACCTCTCTGCACAAGTAGACCCTCAGAGATTTGCTAGAATGACTGTTGACTCTTGTTAAACTGAGAAGCTCAAGTAGTATTCTGTTTGCTGCGGACCAAGATTAATGGCACAATGTTCTAGATAAGTTCTGTCCACTGGCTTCATGTTGTTTTCACCAACTTACTTCCCAGATCTGACTGTCAACCCCACACACACAGCAAAAAAAGCCTTGAACACAGATTGGATTCTAACTTTTAAAACAGCAGGTTAACTTGCATATCAATCTTTAACTATAGCTGATAAGTACTCAATCACACGTGATGAGAGTATCTCAAAGTTCTGCACAGTTGGCAACTGATTCATCAGCCGGTTACTGTGTGCAGCTCACATCTTTTTTCAATAGGCTGAAGTAGTGGAACAAGGCCAAAACTGCATTGCTTGAACAATCAAGTGAAACAGGAATACTGAAAGCAAAAAATAAGGCAGCAGAATATCCAAACATGATCCTGGGCAATCTGGAACCAACCTTTATCTTAACTCTGGACATAAAAGCCAAATGGACAGTCATAAGGTAACAAATGGTGAAAATGTTCACGTGATCTGGCTGCTCTTTGGACTGCAGTGCTGGATGAATGAAACGGTGATGTCAGGTCTGGGGAATCCACAGCTGCAGCCCAGCGGGATCTGATCTGACCTAGCCAAACTGCTGAGAGGAACAGAGCAGGACAAGATACTGCCAATGCTCCGGAAAAGCCTGTCACTGATATCTGCTATACCCAAATGCCATTCAGGAAAAAAACGTTCACATCTTTGACACTTGGCGTACCTGTTGGCCCACTGACAGAATAATTCTCCACACTCCTGGAACTGTGCAGATCAAATGACTTAAAACATATGATAACAGTGACACTGTGCCAGTGTTATAAGGGATAACACCTATAATGACTAGCTGTCATAAGTTTAGGGCATTTACTTTCACTCAGAAAAAAACCACACTTCCACACTGTTATATTGAAGTCTGGGGAGACTTGTGAAAGTGAGAACAGCAACAAGAACAATACACAACACTGTCCAATGCTCACAATGACTACATCTTAAGAAACAAAAAAAAAAGAAAAGAGGACCTTTCCTTTCCCCAGCTGAGACAATATGAGGTTATATGAATTCAGAATAATAAGGAAATGATGCACGTCCACAAATAAAGAGGCTGCTCAAGAAGCTGATAATTAATGTGTGAAGTTGGAACGGAGCCTTCACAATCTGAGCCATGTCGATTTTATAGATTTGTTCCTCTCAAGTGTGTTTTTGTATCTTCTGTATATTTACGTGACTGATTACTTCATTAAGTTCTACTTTCACAACACCAAGAACACGCCCCTTTTCATTTATTATTTATCGATCCCTTCTCCTGTATACTCTTCCTAATAGCTAAAAACCTAAATGTGGTCACTGAGATTCACTTAGAGCTTCTTTAACTCCTATTAACTGCAGGCTGAATAACGTAGACGCTTGTAACAACGTCCACATTTGCAAAAAAGTAAATTATAGTGCGACATTGCAAAAAGGACAGCGCAGACGCCACTCGCCTCCCACAGATAGAAATTCATAGTAATGTGAAGCAAAGTTTACTTTTTTTTATGAAACTTCAACATCAGATGACAACCAAGAGACACTTCCTGGGGAAGCCACATCCTTGTGGTTCTCAATATGCTCGAGAGCTAATACTGATTAAACCCCAGTGAATGCTGCTGTCTGGTGGCAGGAATTTATGTCATGACCTGTGAAAGCCAACACAGTTGGTGAGTTTCTTATCGTGGCAATATGAAGCCTTCCTACACCAGTTTGGATGTGCTGCTTTGTCATGAGGTTCAATTTTTAAACGACAGCAACAAGCCGGCTGTTCTTGAACTTTCACCAAAATTGCTGAATATATTTGAGATAAAAATCCTTTCAGACATGGAATATTTCACACTGATGGCTTAATCAATATGCTACAATAACAGCATTCTGTTACTCAGACGTAGGTCACTTTTATGTTAATGTTCCGTATTGTCTCATACAGATATACGGCAGTGAAGGAAAGCGCCACGGTTCATGCACGATATTTGTCATACACGCAAGATTGGACAGTACATCAAGTGACATAATGCGTTTTAATGCACTAATAAATCTGCTATGTAACAAATGATGTAACTGCAGCTTATGTACTGTGACTCTGTGTGACAGCTCACCTGCAGGAAAGTACACAGTGTGACTTGTATTCTGATCGATCTGTCTCCATGTCGAAAACAATTTATATTCATAGGTAATTAAGTTATCACTGTTGCTCCATGTGCATAAATATGTGCTACTCTGTTGCTTTTGAGAGGCTCGTATGGATCCTGCTGCAGTATGATGCTGCAGGTATGCAATAAATTCACAGGAAAGACCTCCACAGCTAGAAGCAACAAACTAAATATTAGCTGTAATAATGATTTTGGCACACTACCTGTGTTTTTTTTTTTTTTGCGCTCTCTGATGTTTTTGGATCAATATTAGTGCTGAAATGTGGAAAAAACCTTCCCCAAATCACTTCGCACAGCTCGGAGCATGTTGCTTGCGTATGTCTATCCGCTAATTTGACGGCATGCAGTTTAGACTTGTGCAGTTAAGAAACACCAAAGTCCTACTAGGTCTGACCTAGTGAGATTGCTGCGAGGACTTTTTCAGAAAAGCAACCAGGGTGCTCATTCAGACTTGAAGCCAACGCATTCAGATGGCATCAGGTTAATGGAAAACAGCGTATTTCTAAAAAGGGCTTTAGACTGTTTTGAGGCAATTTAAGACCATAGCATGGGGTTCCTGGAGCGATTTTACCAGAATCCACGTAGGTTTAGTTCCATCATTTCCTTTCCATTTTTGTATTTTCATTGAGTCTCACACCAAACTAAAAACAAAAAACAAAGATCTGCAACCTTTCATAGATGCTAAAAACTGACATCTTGGGAAGATAGATTCTTCAGTCTGGTAATCATCAACTGTAGTGTCCAACATTTCAGATTTTTTTTTAAGGCAGACCCTTTGTCTTGTCATTACAGTGGAAGTACAGGTGAAACTAATTTCGTTGAGTACCCCTGTACATCTACATTTCACAGAGAGCCAAACAAAAGCCGTGATGCATCAGCTACACTGTAGAAATGTGTTACCATGCGGCAGTGTGATGCTGGCCCCGTCGAGGATGGCCTGAGCCAGCAGGTGGTCATTGCTCTCAAAGGCGCTGGCCGCAGCCCGCAGCGCATCCCAGATCTCCTTCCGGCCCTCGAATGCTGGCGCCGTATCCCAGAACTCATCTCTCTTACTGCGCAGCTGGCCTTCAGTCATCGGGTAGTCACTTTTCCATTTAGGCCGCTCTCTCTTCAGGGGCTGGTTACGCCCTAGAGCCACTGGGAGGGAGGGAGTGAGAAAGGAAAAGGGGGATACAGAGAGAAAAGGAGAGGAAAAACAGAATGATAGGAAGGCAGAGAAAGAAGACGAACCCAAGGGAAAGATAGAAAATTACTCAAAGGGATTTAGAAAGGGTGGAGTGAATGGAAGAAAGTGATGAAAGAAATAGTGGGAATTAATAGAGGAACAACAGAAAGGGAAGCAAGAAGGGGAAAGGATGGAGTAATAGGAATTACCAATATGAGGAAAGAAGAAAAACAAACGCAAATGGGGATGTAGGAAAGAAAAGATAGACAGATGTGGGATAGAGGATGACAAAGGAAGTCAGAAAAGGTGGGGAATACACAAGATGATAAAAAACAAGAAGTAGAGATTGAGAGTAAGGAGAAAGAGAGCGTGACAACTGTTAGGATTTATTTGACACAAAGCAACAGTCTCTTAAGCTTGCTCAGACACACAACTAAGCTCAGATGACAGATTAAACATGGGCCAAACACCATAACATGATAGGGAGCTTGCACACACACTGAGCCGAACTGAAGCTGGAAGTGTTGTGTTACTAAACCCAGTTAAAAGGTTACGGTTATAGCATCGAACAGTGCTCCATCTGCAGCAGAATGGCTGATGAATAACACCATCTGGATCGCCACCGAAGGGGACGGCAGGTACAGGACAGCGTGTATATATATGTGTGTGTGGGTTTGCAACACAGAGACAGAGTAGAGGGAGAGGACGAGGAGGAGGAGGAGGAGGAGGAGGAGGATGGATCAAGGTGTTGAGTTACACCTGCTGCTGGTACACATGTAGTCTGATGATCACATGGCAAAGTCTGATAACACCAACCTTCAACTGACTGTTTGGAGTAAATAAGACCTCGAACTGTCTCGCTGCTTACGTTTGTTTTGGCTTTTTCGGTCACATTCGGTTACGTATATTATCATAATGCAGCGACTATTATTCTCGTTTAAAAGTGGCTCGTAAATCCACCAGATTATGGTACTCAATCAGAGTATGGTGGGTCCTTGAGGTCCTCATGTCAAAAATAAAGATGAGACAAGACTTTAGTGTTGCCTGAAAGGGGTTTAAGCACATTCAAAAACAATCTGAAGAAACAAAACAACATTTTACCACTGCATATAATCATTTTCCAGTGATACCTGGCTGAATTCCTGCATATATGTCAACTTGTCTGCTTGACTGTGCATTCATGCTTCTGCATTAGCCTACTTTCCAGTTCACCGGTCTGCCAATAATTCACTAATATAATTCTAAACAATAGACTATTTGACCGCCATTCAGCGATTTCCATAAATCCTTCAGGATTTTACACCAAAAATACTATCGCGCTCAAACTAGGTAAACCTGGCTGCGGCATCTGCTTTAGTTAATTTACATGTATTTAGGTCTAATTGCCTTGTCTCTGCCATCATCACACAAGATGTCAAGTCACAGCTGCTTGTCTGCATCTGTTTTAACGCTGCACTGCCTGTCGATGCTACACACAGATATTTACTATTTATGTGACATCTAGTCGGGTGGTGCTCCGTCTCCACCTCCACGCCCAGCTGGATCCTCCAGTCTGTAATTAAAATAACTAAGTAGATGAAATCTGCAGACCAGACCAACCTGGAAACTTCAGCATAAAGTTGACACCTGAAGAAAACCTCCACAAAACTGGGCCTCTGGTTAAGATAAATACAAACGGCTTGTCAGTGTCTCCTCTGAATTGTTGTTTCAGCCCATCAGATTTAGTGCAACATTTCCTAGTTTGCAACCAAGAAATTACACTTTTTAAATCATATTTTGACCCACAAAGCCACCTTTATTCTACCCCTGGTCCAGCTCCCATGCCACAACCTTAAGCACGCTGCATGCAATGCTGTTTATTGCTCAATAAATACAATAATCTGTTGCAATCTTCTGTGTTGTGTTTATGCTCAGTTGCTGCTCTCAGGCCTTGCTCACAAAACAATTAAAACACACGCACACTTCCTTGATCACAAAGCTGCAGCACTCTTTAAGTTTTGACACCTCCTCCTCCTTCTCCTCCACTTTCCCCAGGACCAAACACTTCTTAACCAAACAGTGAATACAAACACAAAAGCACTGAGAAAAGCCGTAAGTGCAGCATGCGTTGAGCTCGCAGTGACTTTAAGTTGTGCAGACAGTCGGGGGGCATAATTCAAATCAAACTGAATCACTCCTGTGCGCTCCCTTGCATGCCATTGCTGTCTGTGACCCATATTTGTTATGCAGAAAAAGCTAGCAAGCTAACTAGCTGCCGTTTTAGCCGGCTAGCTCAGTCAACACCAAAAGAACAAAGGGAGGCAGCGTCGCACAGTAAATATCCCCCACTTTGGAAAGTAAGCAAGCAGACGAGGCGTAATTTCTCTCGTCGAGGCCCGCTGTGTGGAGGCAGAGAGCCGGCGGGGCTGCTGGGTCCGTCTCCGGCTCCGTCTGGCTCGGGTAGGAAAGGGGAAGGGAAAGGAGACCTCCAGCCAGGACAACATGCAGAAAGCCTGCAGGAAGCCCCTCAAAAAAACAAGAAAGACAGAGAGAAAAAAAAAGCCAAGCCACTAAAAGACGTCGATAAGTTACCTCCAGTACCGTCAGAGTTCTCGTTTAAGCTGCCCGAAGAGTCGTGGTGGCTCCCGACACAGCCACCCATGGATGTTTCGGCGGAGCAGCCCGGGCTAGGTAGCTCACCCCCCGGCCCACAGCTAGAGCTACATCCACTACCCCTCTCTCTCGTTTTTCTCTCTCTTCCCCCCTCCCCTCTTTCCTTCCTCCTCTCCCTTTCCTCCCTCCCGTCCTTTCCTCTATCCTTCCTTCCTCCCTCCCTCCTCCTCCTCCTCTCAGCTGTGACGGGGCGCAGCGGGCATCGTCTTCTTCATCTGCGGGGAGGCGGAGAGAGGACGGCGGGCAGGGGTCCGCAAGGTGACCGGGAGAAGCAGAACAAAGGAGAAGTGCGCGGTGGTTAAAGGAAATAGATGCTTTTCTTCTGTGGGGCATCAAATGTTCGCTGCACAGTTTGTTGTTCGTGGTGATGATGATGATGTATTTTGACACATCTGCTGTCATGTTTGGTGAGAAGCTGTTTGCTGTCCCGATGAAGACACATCAAAACCCTGATCCTTGAATGTCAAAGAGGCCTCCTGCTGCTAGGGCTGCCCTCCATCACCCTCACTCACTTTAACCAATAAGTTGGGTCAAATATTCTATTCTATTCTATTCTATTCTATTCTATTCTATTCTATTCTGTCTTCAGCAGACTGTTTAGTTTCAAACAAGGGCAGATTCCTATTTTCACAGTGAAATGCAAGTTTTCTATTGTATTGTATTGTATTGTATTGTATTGTATTGTATTGTATTCTACTCTATTCTATTCTATTCTATTCAGTCTTGCATAGTAGGGTTTCAGTAGACTTTTTATTTAAAAAAAGGGGGGGGGGGGAATCAAATTTCATAAGGTAATGAAATGAAATGAAAAATACTTTATTTATCCCAGAAGGGAAATTCAATCTTGTAAAAGCTCACTTTCTCTCTTTTTTTTTCTTCAAATCAATATAACATATATTCCACACAACAACAACAATAATCATTCAATCAGTCAACTGTCAGTCAGTCAGATTTGTTTTTTTTTTGTAGAATGAGATGTTAGCATTGTCTATTCTATTCTATTCTATTTTATTCTATTCTAGAAGTTTAGAAGGTAGACCATATAGTTTGTTTTGTTTTAAACAAGAACAAAATTCTGATTTCACAATGTAGAATGAAATGCATGTATTGTGTCGTCTATTCTATTCTATTTTATCCTATTCTAGCATTTCAGAAGTTACACTATACAGTTTTGTTCTGATTTCACAAGGTAGAATGAAATGCAAGTATTGTGTTTTCTATTCTGTTCTGTTCTATTCTGTCTTGTATAGTAGGGTTTCAGTAGACTGTTCACAAAATCAGCTAAATTAAAATTTTATAATGTAGAATGAAATGCAAGTATTATGTTTTCTATTCTATTCTATTCTATTCTATTCTATTCTATAGGATAGGGCAGTTTTAGTAGCACACAATTTGAATCTGAATACTTGTAGATAAATCATACTATACAATGTAGAATGAAATGCCATTTGTGTACTATTCTATTCTACTCTATTCCAGTAGAGATTAAACCATTTACATTTTGCTTTAAAAAAGGGCAGCATTTTGACTTTACAGTATAGAATGAAATGTTCGTATTATGTTGTCTATTCTATTCTATTCTATTCTATTCTATTCTATTCTATTCTATTCTATTCTATTTTATTCTATTCTATTCTATTCCAACTGTTGCATTCTCCACTCTTGCACCAAAAGAACAAACTCTGGCCTGGTCACTATCTTTAGGGCTGCCAAAGAGACTTGAGTGTAATTTGACACACTGTCACACACAAATGCACATTGACACACACACACACACACACACACACACACACACGTTTGATACCACACACACAATAGGAACAGGATAGCAAGGGTAATTTTACAACAAAGCTGTCTGGAATTACAATTATTTCCCATCGCAAGGAACTGAAAGAAGATGTTGATGTGGGAGAGGGCTTCTTTGGAAACGCTCTCCTGACTGCGTGCACGACACGAGTGACGTAATGTGATGTAACAAGTTGCTGAGAACACACTTGACATGCCGCCGCTTCTCCCTGTGATCAAGCTCGCAGCAGGAGAATCAGCAGGATCTTCTGTACTTCCTTCTATATGTCGACGCACATTCATGATGCAAATGATTGCACATCGCCCTTCATAGCGGCATGTTTCACTCAGGGTGGCGCTGCAGTGTGTTGATCAAAGTGATTTCTGCTGGGAATGTTGCCGTTTTAGGGACCTAGCTGGGAGTCTATAAAGGGATCGCTGACATCTCACAGACCCTCAAACTCTACATTGGTGTGGACGTGTTCTAAGAAGGTTTAAAAGGAAACTTAGAGCACATTAAAGCATGCGGCTGTATGATTTTAATAAAAGTCTTGAAAGGCCTCAGTAAGCTGTGACATATTACGGCCTGCTCGAGGCAAGAATAAGCTGTTGACTAAACACACATGAAAAGCATTGCAAGTCAACTTCTGAGAGCTATAGTGACCTCTAGTGACTTTGTTTCATCCAGCAGCATGATTAAATTACTTTGAATGGCAAATGTGGTTAATGTGCAAAGTGTGGTTCAAGTGTTTTGTTGAGTTAAACAGTTTGATGGTAGTTGAAAGGAACACAGAGGGAGGAGGCATCCGTAACTGAGACCACGGTGTTACAACACTGAAATATGGCACATTATGTTGCTTCAAATGAGTGATTGACCATAGATCCTTCTGTTTGTGTGCATACAGCCAGCTACAGTGATTAAATCATCACGACTAGGCATCTTTCACAATGCAATAAATGCAACTGTATAATGTACGTTTAAATACACTTATTCTTGTAGTTTTCTCTATGAGATGGGGACACTTTTTTCCTGAAATGTGAATTTGTTTTTTTGTGCTTCTTGTTTTGTCTTGTCTTTCCTCTGTCTGCTAGTGCATTGGTCAGTCAGTAGATGGTGCTGGAGAGATAGAACTGCAGGCTGATGTGTCCTGCATAGACCAAAATGCTGTGTGTGTGTGCATGAGTGTGTGTGTGTGACACAGACAGAGACACACTGACATGGCCTTTTATTTTAGTGCATGATGGAAGCTAAAAGGTCAGGAACCTCCACGAGCACCGTAATTAAAGACCTTCAATTGCGCTTTTTGGGAGAGAGTAAAATTCATTACACCTGCTAGAGTGCTGCAGTACGTGCATTAAGGCATATGGCACCTCCTTTTTACAGGTGCTCTTGTCTAATGTCGACCGGTTTTCGTCACTAAAGCAAGCATGACTCACGTAATCGTACCAGACGGCAAAGAAAAAAAATATAGATGTGATTTTTTTTTCTTTTTTTTTGATGAACAACGTGACATGTCGCCTGCGAACATGAAAGCAGAAAATTGCAAATAGTCACTGTGGTTGTTCATCTGAACCCTGAGGCAGTAATTGCTCAGCTTTCTGTCTCCTCTGCTGCCATACAAGCATGCACCAGGCTTCAGTCTTGCTGGTTGGAAAACATCGTAGTCTTGTGGAGAAAAAACACAAAAGAACCTGTTTATTTATTTATTTTCTTGATATTGTCCTTTTGTCTACTCCCTTTCGTCTGCTTTTTATTTTCTCAAGCAGCCTCACTTCCTTCCACTTCTTCTTCCATGTGGCCAACAGAGCAGCTGACACACAGTTAATAGGCTTGTCATCGGTCAATTTATTCTTAACTGGCTAGCTCTCGCATTGGCCCAAAGTCTGCAGAATTACATCTGCCCTTTTATCTGTTTGATGCTGCTGTTCCAATTGTCTGGCCATTTGAAGATGTTCAACTGCCCCATCTGTGTTGAAGGCAGGACAGCAAGTGGACCTATTGATTTACTGTTATCTGTCCCAGACCCATTGCCTCAGAGTGCATTTGATGATGACCAGAAAGACTGGGCCGTTTGAAGCTTTTAAACTCATTCAAATCCAGCTGTGTGTGAAGGAGGCTGACAGACGGCACACAGTTGATTGTCCTTTCATTGATTTACAATTACCTGCTGTGTCTGAACCAACTGCAGCCCTCCAACCTATTCCCCACAGTGTCACACTTCCCTGAAAGGAAAAAGAGAAGCAGAGATGGAAAAGAAATCAGACTGAAAATCAGAGTGAACAAGAGAGAAAGGCAGAGTAATAGACAGGCAGGCAGAGAGAGATTCAGGTCAAGTTGACCCGAAGGTTTAAAGTGGCATTCAGGGTTAGACGCTCAAGATGAAGCTCAGACTAGGAAGGTTGCTGGCCGCTTTATTTCCTGGTAATCCATCGCGAGGCTATCTGCGAAACAAAATAATATTAATTCCAGCTAAACGGAGTCCCTCAGTTTACTATTTGTAACTCACTGGATGGAAAACTTAGATAAAAACAACCCCAAAAAACTGCTGTTCATGCTCTAATTTTGAAATCGCAAACAACATTCTCAAGTAAAGGTTTCCCTCGACCAGCAGCAAAAGGCGCTAGCTTGCTCTTTCTTGACCAAATAAAATCTCATTTATTTCCTCCAGTGTGGAGTGAACAGGGCAGCAGGAGCGAATCCAATGTACCACATTTAATCTAAACAGTATTAATGCTGGTGCCGAGGGACACAGAAACAGTGCAGGAGAATCCCAATTCACCTCTTGCACATTGGACCAATTTATCTAATCCCCAACTGTGCACAGATCCATTAAGTCTTCCGTTTTACGTTCTGGCACACAATACAATACGCTACGGACTGTTGGGACTTTGCAAGAGCACAAATGGTATTAGAGGAGTTTTTTAAAATGTGGAAATATTGACCCTAAACCTGTTTGTTGCAGGATTTCAAGAACGACCTTGGCCAGAAAGGAGAGAAATAACCCCGAGGGATGCTGTGACAGAATTACAGATATATGACTGCAATGGGAAATGGTAATGGAAGGACAACGACTAATGTGGCACTTAAGAAATTTAAGACTTGTACGTCAGAAAGGCCAAACATCAATGAAAGCACAAAAAGACATTCTGTGATCTGTTGGAAATGTATCTCTTCAACAATACCAAATTCCTCACCATGAAAACATGTTCATCTGTGAAGCATGTCAGCTGAAAATCTGCAGAGACAAGGGATTTATTTTTATTTTATTTTATTTTATTTTTTTACAATTTCAGGAGAACATTAGCTGAAGTGCAGGACAGTATTGAGGAGTTCCTATAAAAGTAAAAGTCTTTGTACAGTGTATTCTAACAGGACAATGATCTGAGCGTCTAACTATGTCAACACTTGTCTTTTGAACAAAGTCCTTGACTCAAAGCCCAGGCTTCTCCGTAGAAATCAGTAAAGCGTAAATGGACACACCCTAGAATTTTAACCCATGTGGGGATAAATATTTGAGTGCAAAAGGGAGCATCCTAGAGAAGATTCCTACGAAGTAAAAGTTGAGTTGCTGTGTTTTTATTCATGTGGACTGAAATTCTTTTCATTGCATTTCAGCATTAAAACAGAATACAGAAAACCATTGAGTGTATGATTTAAGAATTTGGACAGAATCTTATATATACATATAAATAATTGTTTAAAATCTGGACTTCAAAGGTTTACTATAGTCTGTTTTTTTGGGTGCTGTGATGAATCAAGTGCTTGTAGGCCGTTGTGCTATATGCCATCAGTATTAATATAGTAAGGACAGAAGTTCTTTGTCATGGGACCATAACAGAAGCCCACATCAGACAACCTTTGTGTTATTCCATCAACACAACCATAATGAAACCCTAAATTACCATAATTGCAGTTGAAAGGACTGTTTTGCACTCAGTTTAAAAAGAAAGAGAGCAGGGAAGTGGGGGGAGATGGGAAATGGCGGCTGACCTCCTCTTACTAATTTTGGGCATTGGTGCTGCAGTGCTGGTGGCTTCGTATATCTTATCGCTCCAGAGTCTGTCTTGGCTTCTTTTGTTGTCCCTGTGTATGTGAGTGGATCAGACAGACAAAGCAAAGCTCAAGCAGTCTTGACTTGTTATGGTAAAGCTAAGTTATATGGAGATTTGTCTGCCCGCTGGATGTGTCTTCATTTTCTCCCCCCCCTCCTCCTCTACTGTATATGCTCCATAAACACAGCTGTAACCTCCTGGTATAAACCTTTATTCTCAGCACATCACACCACTGAATGTATAAGCTCTCAACCCGTGCATCACTGAGGTTCAACACAAATAGAGTTACGTAACGGTCTCTGCTCTGGGTGGTGATTTACGACGGTGAAGTATTTCAAGAAGTGAACTCAGCAGTGAACTACTACCTTAAGGTGCGTCCTTCTTTTCTTCTGCAATACTTGTGACCAAAAAGGGACCTCAACGTCTCATCTGGACATGGCTCGTGAGAAAAGCTGTTCCTCGAAAGAGCAATAATATTTTCATTCAGTTAGGGGACCACAGACAAAGATTAAACAGCAAGACATTTGGTTTACAGTGTTACTGGCTGTATGGATGACATTGTTGGTCTGTTTGCTATTTCTCTGGTCAAGGCTGAAATACCTCAACAACTTTTAAATGGATTGTTCTGGAATTAGGCACAAGCAGTCGTGGGTTCTAGAGGATGAATTATACAAAAGCTGTTGATCCTGTTTCTTTTCCCTTAATTGGTAAAATATCTCAACATCTAATACATGGATTAGCAAGAATTTTGTGGGTTCCAATAGATTAGGTGTCCTAAAGTCGGGGATGGTTTCAACTTTCCACAAGTTGTAGTTGTCATGACAGCTATGACATAGATTGACATCTTTTCCAAACATGCAAACTAGTGACATTCCCATCAACCTCAGATGCACTTCGTGTTCAGAGAAGTAATAGCCAATGCTGGCATGGTGACAAGCTACACTAAGATGGTGAACACGGCAGAAGTTATTCCTGCTAAACATCAGCATGTTGTTGCACCACTCTGTCTGAGCACAACCTCACTGTCGTGCCTTATTTGTTAGTTGTAGTTTTTAAAGTACCCTTTCTTACCCAGTTTTGCAAATAATACAGTTCTCTGTGTGGATAAGGAAAAACTAAATATGTTGCAAAAATCTGCGAAGTTTAAAATTCAACAACCAGACCGATTATTTTGCACCTCACAAGTGCACCCAACCACAACTGTGCCCAAGACGCTCAGTGAACAAAGAATATATTAACTAAAGATATGCAAGTAAAACAGTCTTATCTGAAAAGCCAAACACTAAGGTGTTCCATTAAACAAGAACAATCTATAAATATATTTATCAGTTGTGTGTAAATTACCGTTGGGTCAAATCACACCATTAATCTTGTAATTAAAAAAAATAAAATGTTTTGGATCAGTCTCTGCTTAGTGTAGTGTCCACAAGAGCACTTTTTAAGGTACAATGTTAGGGAGGTTTTGAGTAGCAAGTATAAAACTATTTATTTAAAAAACCAGAGGTGCCGCTAGAGCTCACCTGGTTGAGCTGGTGTCCCATGTATAGTGGCTGCAGTCTCCGATGTGGAGGTCATGAGTTTGAATCTCGCTCATGGCCCTTTTCCACAGGTCCTTCCCCTATTGTTCTCCCCCATTTTCCTGTCCCGCTCTCTCACTGCACTGTCAAATAAAGGCCAAAAAAATAACTTAAAAAACGAGTAGAATAGAAGCTTTTTTTTCTGAACAGGCAGCTGCTATGTGTCTGCTTGACTTTCTGAGCTACAGCTGACCTGCTTCATCACTGTGAAACTGATTAGAACTCTTATAATGTTTGTATTCTTTCAGTTTGTCATATAAAATGTACATGATAAACCTAAATAGTTCAAAATACTGATTGAGCCCTGGTAGAAGAGAAAACAAAAGGCCTTGGAGGTTGAAGCATGTTTACAAGGACACAGCTGTAGTCATAATTTGGCTATTCACGGTCAGAAACTTTTTTCATTTTAATTTTTAAAGCGGTTATCCACATGACGAGAAGATTTTTATCAGGCGCAACAGAGCTTTGGGCGCTTACAGCAAGTAAACAAAAAGAAGGGTTGCACAGGGCTGAGCTGAAGTCATAGGCTGTCAGTAAAAACACTTGAAAAAAAAACGTAAATGTTTTTCCTCTCTATCAATGAACTAAATGCAAACTGCACTAAATGGAGAAAAAGAGCATCACATGAGTATTTGGTTAAACCACTTTTTTTATTAAAAGATTCAATTTTTAAGGTGCACTTATGCAGAGTTTTTGAAGCATCCAGGAGAATTTGCCATTTAATGTGTGGATTTAAAACATCTCAGTTGCTTCTTCTCATCATCCCAGACTGGCTGAATGATGCAAAGTTCAGATGCAACCAAATGTCCTTCTGTTGGAACCATTTAAAATTGTTTGACTCATCATTCCAGAGCACCTGTTACCACTTCACTGCATCCCTGTTTCTGCATTTTCATTCACAGGTGAGTCACTTGCCGTTGTTTTTGCCAACTTTTTGTCTGCAAATCTTCCATGAGGACCCCCTCTGATCAGACTACTGTGGGCTGTATGTGCATGTGCCAGGATCCCACTGGTTTCTGCCCCGAGGCCTGTGCAGATGGTGCTGTAGGATTTTGAAAGAAAATTAGCTTGATGTGTCATTTGTCTGCTGCAGTTGGTTCCCTTGGTAGACCACGGCTCCTCCAGACGTCAGCACTGCCAGTTTCTTTGTACTTCTGCAGAAGAGCTCGGACAGGACATGTGGAAACACACCCACAACCACCTTGTGTGTTGTGGGTGTGCTCACACTTGGCACTATCATTTATTTGTTTCGGATAAAATTGTCACTTTCACAACAATAGTGCCTTTTTAGTATGGCTGTCCATCGCCTTGTTTTATTACTTGTGCACAAATGTTTCAGTTTCAGTTAAAGACTTAGTTTAACCTGCTGTATACTTGAAGAGTTCATTTGCAAAAACAGATAAATCTATTTTTGTAGATTTTCTGAAAACTTAATTGTTTGTTGTTTGATTGAGATAATATCAATCAAACTAAAGTTGAGTGAATTTGACTCAGTAGCAATGACATGACAGAAACAGGGATAACTTAAGTTTGATTGATACTGTCTCAGGTAGAAGATGGAAAGGGGAGTTTTCTGAAGGTTTGTGAAGATGGAGTTATCTGTTTTTGCAAATGAACTCTTCACTTGTTTAATCCAGCACCGAACTATATGCTTGTAAGGTTTATGTCTAAAAAGCTTCTTTGCTACTTTCTCTTAAAAGTGTAAAATGTAATTTGTTGTTAACATACAAATGGAGTAGTTGTAATCACAAATTAAACTGTTTTTATGTGAAACATTTGCGAATGTCCTAAACATTTACACAGGACTATTAGTAATTTTCATATCCTGTTAAACTGACTATAAATGGAAACGTTGCAGATCTTGATAACATTTCCTATATTTTGCTCTGCTGTAGCCTGGTTACTCAATTTTTTTTTTTTTTTAAACAGGAAATTAGACAGAAAGGAGTGGAGACAACACTCAGTGCGTTTGGAAACATAGTGTAGTCGAGGGCAGACAGCATTTCTTTAGGTGTGTTTTTCAAACTTCATGTCAAATGCAGTAACTATAAATGCCAAACTCAATCACCTTTTTGCATTTTCCTTCCCTGAGTACCTCACAACCTTTCTACTAACTTGTTTGTTCTCTGTGTCCACAAGTGTCTTCTCTAATAAGCATTACAGTTCGGTTGTGGAAAAATCCAGCAGTCTCTGGCAGAGCTTAAAGGGCAATTAGCAACGACATGAAATAAACCAGCAGCGTCTCCTGTTTGACAAGGGAAGGATTAAAAAGGTATTTTACCAACCGTCACCTTGTTCAAAACCTCTAAAAATGTAGGTCTCTCCCTTTCAATCAAATGACTGTGAAGCATTCATGGTGACGACACATCTCCAATATGTCTGTCTTGCTTATGCGTCTGTATTATTTCTCTTCCCATGTTTACATTGCCATAGAGTGAGTTGCAGTTGAATTGCCTCCAAGCGACGCAGAAATGCGATCACAAAGTGAGCCCGAGACACCTCCATGTCTTGTTAGGATTATTCGGTAGCAGCGCGAGTCAAATTAGGTTTTTGTATCAGAGTTGTCTCCTAACGCGTCCTGGCATGATTGGATAATAAAATTCACAATGAAGCGAGAGGAGCAACGACAGCCTCAAATAGCCAGCATGAATCGAAGTGGCTGCGTGTCGCTCCTCTTTGTCAGCATGGTGCTCTGCCTGCCTGGCTAAGAAGGTGTCTAAGTGATAATCTGATCCTAATCTAATTAGATCTAATCGAGCCTGATGTAATGTGATCCATTAACGCACTGTGATTGGATTTCTTACACCTTCTGAGTTGGCATTTTTGAAGCTGACATTAGACAAGTATATTGTGCAATGAAAACAACGGTTTGGTGTTTGTTTTTCTCAGTGCGAGAAAACTGTTGAAAACTGGAACTAAAACACTGATGCTCATGAATTGAGACCCTTATTTTGATGTCAAACTGAGTCGTCCTTCAGTTCTGGTGTTAAGAATGTAAAGAGTGAACACTGAATTTAAAATGAGGGGACGACACGCATGGGAAGCACTGCCTGCCAAATGGCATGCAGACCGACAGCAGGACAATCAGAGAATATTTAACTTCCTGCGTTTCTCTGGAACTGTACCATGGACACACACGCAACCTTGCATTTATGGTCACTGAGTACAAATATGCACACACAGAGAAGGGCTGCACGAAATACAGAAATACATACATGGACTTACATAAACAAACAAAATTCAGGCTGTTGCCAAGGCTGACAACTCAGCTGGTGTGACACCATATGTTGGAGTGTTGGCAGCACCATAAGTGTTCAGTCGGTGGGCCGAAAACCAGTTTGAGACACTCAGGAAATTCCCAACACAAAGGAGGATACACATGCTCAAGTATCTTTTCCTTTTCAACAGTGCGTTCTGCTTTTGTGAGACTCTGAGGTGAGCTTGATTCCTCTTGTGTGGTTTGTCCGCAACTCAACAGCTAACAGTGATGATGCAAAATGATACTGATAAGTACGCATGTGAAATCTGAACTTTCTACTCACTACCGAGTTAAATAGAAATGTTATATAGGGAGTATTGAATAAATGAAAGAGACAGTGCCTTTGTGCTTTTACCTTCCAGGCTTGCTTTTGCGCTGTATGCTCATTGCACATTGTAAATTTATGATATAACACAACTTTAATATGGTGAAAAATCTGAAAAATAAAGAAAAACCCATGGAATAAGAAACATAAAGCACAATATATAGTTAAAATACAGTCGCTAGCCTTTGTTTAGAGTTCACCTGTCTCGACTGGTAAAGCTGGATATAGCTTTATGGATATAGCTCGCCTCACTAGCATATAGATTTATCATATAAATTTATACAGAACTCTCACAGAAGGCCCAAAATACCATCCACAATTTAAATAGGACTCGTCTTAGTTTGATATCTGATGTTTGGGTTGCAGGTCTTCACAGCTTCTTCTCTCAGCACCTGAAAAAGCACTAAACTTGCAGCTGAAGCAACATATAACGTGCAAGATACAGTGAAGCCAAGCACACGTGTCACTTAGTTTCAGGGTTGTCGGTGGTTGCGTCTAAAATCTCCCCCTTGTTCACTCATTCACTGCTCCTGACTGTGTAATGGACAATCAATAGTTCGTTCATTAGTGAGCAGCAAATTGAGATATCGGTCGTTTACCAATCATTGTTATTTTGCGTCATCATTGTCAGCTATTGAATCACGTAACAGATGTTTAGACATCTGTAAAATGTAGTGCATTGCAGTGTGGGGGGGAGAAACAAGATGAACCAGTAGAAAAACACCCCTCTGCACTAGTGATTGGGACCTTGATCCAAAACCAGATTAAAGTTTCATTTACAGTTAGTCATTGAGAAGCTTTATTTATATGTGGAAGCTACCAGAACTGACCAGTGTGGTGTTGAATTGTGTTTTGGCTGTTTCCATTGTGATTATTTGGTTTATATCCCTGGTTTGCACAATTGTTAGAGTATTGTAAGAACAGCTTTTAAGTAACAACAGTAGTTTTTACCTTTAAGGCATCATTCTGATTTTTTTAGGGTGCCACTTACTGTTACTATTTTCTACTCATGAACCTGACATCAGAAGCTATAGCAAGAGAAGGATTAGTATGTGTCAGCCTCTGTGTATCCATTTATCGAATAAATCCACATGCAGCCCAAAATTTGTGTCTGTGTGGTAACTACACTACAAGAGCAGTGGTGCAAATGTTCAGCAGTCATGTGCATACACCAATCTACTATGCATGTATAGGACAGTCCTCCAAGCAGACTAAAAGTTGTATATTAAGAACATATATACATTTGTGGTGTCTGCAGCTGCCCTCAGATGCCCTAAATCAAGTCCTTAAACAGACTAATATCACCAGATATCACAGGTGGTGGTTATGATAGGAAAAGCCAGTTAACATGAATGTTCTTACTGATAAAGGAGATGGAGTCATACTGTTCACATCTGAGAAAATACAAGAAGTCTGAAAGGGTGCAAGTGACGTAAATTCTGACATCAGCAGG